GCCCTGCGACACGGGAGCCACAGTACCACAATCCACACAGACACCCTGCCACATGGGAGCCACGGGACCACGCTCCACACAGACGCCCTGCGACACGGGAGCCACGGGACCGCAACACACACAGATGCCCCTAAGAAAATGGACTGAGACATCTCCTGTCACAGAGAAGGAAACCTAGGCTGAGCACAGGGACCCCTGACGTTGGGCATCTGAAAGGCAGGCATGGCTCTGGTCACTAGGGAAAGCGTGCGAGGGTGAGTACCTGAGGCCCAGGGTCCGTGCAGAGGCTCTGTGAGTGGTGGGGGTCCTGTCTGAGGCCCAGAGGGAGCCTGACAGCCCCAAAGAGGGTCCCACATCAAGACAGAGACAGTCCCGCATGACAAGCCGGGACCCCAGGGAACAGCGAGGACTCACCTGTCCCAGGTACACCTGCACACAGCGGTGACTCACCACCTACAATGAGAAGACACAGGGTAAGCAGGTGGCTTCCCAGGAAAACTCCACCCAATGTCCACTCAGGCTCGACCCCAGAGCTGCACCTGTCTGACACCGCTCACAGCCCCAGAGTTCTAGCATCAAAGTCAGACAAGACCTGCAGTTAAGAGAATCCAGATTTTTCTTCACTTTTCTAGAGTCCAACTCCTTTCACAGGATTTCCTGCAAACCCTGGAGCCTCCCCTAAGAGAAACGCCCTGTGCTCATGCACAGAATATCCTCTTCGATTTCAAACGACCAGTGGACTCCAAGGCTAGGAACTTGGGAGCTAGCGGGAGCCCCTCCCGGCCACGACAAGGACATGGGGGCCCTGCCTGGTGGTCTTCAGGCTGCCCCCACCACCACACCCAGCGCTCATATTCCTTACAAAGTGGACCGCCTTTTCTAGAACTCTTTCCACAAGTGGGACAGAAAGCAGATGAGTGGCCCCAGGGCTCGGCCTCCCCATCTGAGCGGGGGAGATAGGAAGAGTGTGGGTGCTCAGAACAGGCCGGCATGGGGCAGGCTCTCACACTCCAGGACCACGGACCGTCCCTGGGCAGACAGGGCTATCAGCGGGTGAGGGAGTCACCCTGGCCTCGTGCGGTCCTGGGAGGCCAGGATCCTGGCACCTGCCAGTGAGATTCAGCTCTCCTCCCCCAGGGCCCCTCGTACCCCCCTCCTCAAGTAAAAACATGCACAGGAAGGGACAGACCCCCAGGGATCTAACCGTCCTTGTGGGTGGCAGCATGACCTTGACTCTTGCCATGCAGACTATTTATAACTGTTGCTTATCTTCCGAAGTTCTCAGAGAACATGACACACGGTCATTCATTCGTCTGGGACATACATCACTCCAGCAGGAGGCTGACTCATACACTCGCCTGGGGCGGGGCCCCGTCTCCTGGCACCGACCCTCTCCCGGCCTGGACCCCCTCCCCACACACAGCCCCTCACTGTCCAGCACCGCTGACCCAGTGGCCGGCTTCCCTGCCCTGACCGACACCCCCTGGAAACAGGAACACCTGCTCACGACACGCACCTGTATATCAAAGCCCAATGAATGCAGGAGGGAACATGTGACCAATAAACATAAAGCAAAAATAAAACAAAACAAAAAAAATGTCTCTGGAAATAGGGGAAGTTATAGACCGGCGCCTACAGGGTGGTGGTGGCCAGCCAGGCAGGCCCACGGAGCTCGGCGGTCCCCCGTGTACCACTCTACGGGACACCAGGCAAGGCCGTGCAAGGAATCAGGGCTCCCATCTTTGAAAAATCACTATCTGCATTCCACGCCATGGAACATTATTCAGCAATTAAAAAAAAAAAGAAAAGATCCAGAGGAACCTCAAATGCATATCACCAACAAAGAAGCCAGTGTGAAAGGCTAATACCAACTCTGTGACGTTCTGGGGAACACAGAACTGTGGGGACCGTAACGAGATCGGTGGAGGCCCACGGTGGGGGCTGGGGGGTAGTAAGCACAGCACAGAAGGTGTTTAGTGAATACGGGCTGTGTGATGCTCTAATGGTGGATGCGTGTGACCCATCTGTCCAAACCCACAGAACGGGCAGCGCCAGGAGCAAAGCTTAATACAAACTGTGGGCTTCAGTTAGTAAAATGCATCCATATTCGCTCATCCAGATTAACAAGCGCACCCTGTTATTGCAACACGGTAACAGGAAACATCTGGAGGGAAATGAGAGTACCATCCACTTCTCAGTAAGTCTATAACTGTCCTTAAAAATAAAGTCTATTCGGGGCGCCTGGGTGGCTCAGTTGGTTAAGCGACTGCCTTCGGCTCAGGTCATGATCCTGGAGTCCCGGGATCGAGTCCCGCATCGGGCTC